CAACTGACCCCTTGAACTGCCACACGGACTTGATCGTGAAGTTCAGTTGTTTCATCTTATTTATCGTGGACCAAGGTGCCCTAACAACTCTCTCTGAATCATTTCGGATTCAGAGAAGTGAGAGGAACTGATCCATGAAATTAGAAGACTTCAAATGCGTCTAGGTTCGGTGANCTGGGACGTGCAATACGGTGTTTATGTTGAAATTTTCTAGATTCTGGCAGAACCAAGAGTCCGGAGTTATGACATTTACGATCAGTCATAAATTTAGCTCGGGTACAGGGAACGGGACGCGCCTAAAAGGACAGGTCAGATCTTGTTACACTTGCCTGTGAATGAGGGCCAGTATGATTGGGTTGCCTCGTTCCAGCTTCCTACGGAAGATGGGATGAAAATGTATATGTCAACACCATCTTTCGAATTCCCGGCGTGGGGGTGCAAGCCATTCCACAAAAGGAGAGACTTTCACAATATTCCGATCTGAACGGACGTGACCCTTGCACGCTCCGGGACATAGCTAGCCGATAGTGTAACGCTGTAACTTAAAGCTAAGAATACATTAATTTAACAGTGTGGTGAATTAGCAGGTGAAAAAACGTCAATTGGCTCAACTCTCAGAAAAACGCTTTCTTCGGCATCGCTACCCTGAGACACATGCAAACCGACCCAGCTAGTTTCCCGTACCTATACCGATCTTCCTTAGTTTGATCTGTGAGGAGAACTTCCAATAGCCATCATACACTGTCCTAAGGTAGAAACAGGTGTAGCAGGGATAGCACCATTCCGACTGAGCCCATACAAACAAAGGCGGGTTCGAAAAGAGCGGTGTTAGTAGGCCTATTTTTAAGAACTTTACAAGTGTGCTAAGAATATTACTCCTTCTAAAGCGTTGATAACAGGCAACTACCGCATTGCCTAACGAACAAACCATGAATGTCTCTAGGTTATGTGAAAGGTGGGTGAGAAGTCCCATAAGTTCTTATTGACGATACTGGATGAGTGAGTAGACAGGTTCAATTTTAGGCCGCCTTTACCCATCTTGAAGCTCCTAGCATATATTGAACAAAAGGTTGATTGTACTCGAAGTCATTGTGCATGTGTTTGGATAGAAGTTTCCTTCCGGGAATCGAACTACAACCTTCCAATCCGTAATTTTTCATTTTCTGTGCTGTCACTGCTCTGCTGATACAGCTGTAAATATTGTTAACATTTTTAATTTAGGCAAGGTGGGCAAGTAAGTATTATTTTTTTATTGCTAGTGGGGTGGGACTAGGCCCCTTGTACTGCGGCCACTTCTGGCCTATTGTACTAGCCCCAGATGATAGGTGAGGGTGATTGTGGAGGAATTGGTGGAAGGAAGATTGGCAGGGGAAACCGAAGTACTCGGAGAAAACCTACCTCAGCGCCACTTTGTCCACCACAAATTCCACTTGACCAGACCCTGGGTAGAACCCGGAACGCCGCGGTGGGGGGCAAGCAAGTAACTGGTGCTTGATTCTGTTCCGAACACTACGGAACACCTAGAATTTTTTCCTTGGCAGGGACGTGATGTGCAGCCCTGTCATTACATAAGCTGTGCCTGGCTTCCCATAATCATGTAATGTATATTCAACGGGTTATTTTTCAGCCTTGTCCAGCACTGGCTGGTATGTGCATATTGGTTACGTTCCAATAGCCGAAGGCCATGACTGGGATACACAACTAGAGAAGACGGTTCACTGACCATGTTGATTAATTTTTAAGATACTGTTTGACATATGTTGTAATTTGTATTGTTGTCGAAACAAGTGACAGGCGATTTTGTAGAAGAGGGGCTTGAGATATCTTCGTCTGCATATGCTTCTGTTCCAACGAATGGTGTTGAAACTACTGGCCGTTAATTGAAACGGCATTTATGTACATATCTTTTAATTTTATACCAGAGTTCACTAAATTGCCGTACCGTGGGACTGTAAATCATTCGGCAGTGGTTTATCTTGGGGCTACAGTCTCACTCAAGGCTTCTAATCATAGAGTTTTTCAAAATCATACTTCGACCTGTCTCTGCCATTGTATCAGCTTCTAATGCTGCTTCTGTCGAATGGGATGAAACAGCCGTGACCTTTAAGACATTGTTTTCTGATTTTATACGAGACGACTGAGGGAGTCTACAAAGAACAGTAGTCTAATTAGCTCGTGAACTAGCTGACATCCGAACCGGTTACCTCCCGAATAAGGTTAAGACGTTTTAACGCTGTGATGTCTTGTTCGGCAAGTTTTAATTTCTAGTATTTTATAAGGCACGCATTGAAAGGCAGAGAAAACAGTGTCCGAAATCTTCCAGAGATCGCAGATCTATAACTGAGCAGTTTCTGGCTTGCTGGCTGGCGAACCGACAAACTTACCAAATGA